CTCGTTTGCCGACCTATTACATTAAAAACTCCCCTGGTATTGCGGGTCTCGGCGCCCATTGCTTACTGTCATGTAATACGTCTGCTCGTTTGCGTACTCATCACAAATGCTATGACCAATTTGACACGAGGATCGGGAGAAGCAGGACTAGAATTTCTCAACAGTTATATTACGTCGCACGTTATGTAATAGAGAGCCAATGTTTATTTTTTTCATATCATGCATTGCGCTTTGTTGTCTGGTACAGACACAGACAGACAGCCGATATTTATTTGTTCATCAAAGAAACACAAACATACCAACAATAATTATAACTAATATTATTATGATCATTCGATGTTGTCAGCGGGAATTTCAAATTTCAACTCCGATTGATCTAATAAATTATTTTGATCATTAAATTATGGAATCCTTAAGAGGCCTTTTCAACGCACCAGACGAACAGAAGGTTTAGCTTCAATTGGCACTGCTGTATGACCTTCTGGGCACTTTCTCCGTTGTCGTCGATGCTAAGTGTTAAGTAATTAATTTTATTTATATTCACTTTAACACGTTTTTAGGAACTTAGTTGAATAATGATTAATAACTATAATAAAGTAATTTCAAAAACGAAATGGAGAACAATGTAATTTACATCCTGCCTGGAGGTTAACACCCAAACTTCTCATGAAGAAGGGGATTCAACAACTAAGATGTATACCACAACAGACTCGTACCAATATGTCTCTTTCTGAATTGGAATATATGTACTTGCTTATTTTATTAGGACACCACCGATATTTAGTAAAGGAAAAATTCGGGCGACCATCTGCACTTTCTAACATTAACGAATTTCTCACGTGGATTAACTTTTTTTATGTCATAATATCGGCAAACGAGCTGACGGATTACCTGATGGTAAGCAATCGGCGTTACCCATGGACACCCGCAATTAAGGATTAGGGTTTTGGAGATTTAGCGGAGGGGAAGGATTAGGCCTCCGGTAACCTCACTCACACGGCGAAACACAACGCTGTGGTTATTTCATGCCGGTTTTCTGTGAGACCGTTGTATCACTCCGGTGTAGCCAACCCATTCGTGCCGTAGCACGGCTCTCCCACACTGAGAAGAGTTCTCTCGTGATCTGCATCGTCGTCGTCGACATCCCCTAGACGCACATGTTACTTATACATAAGAGTCTCGTTCTGACTCTCACACGTTGAGAGCGGTGATTAAAAATAGTTAATATTAAGAGTTTTGACAGTTACTATTATATACGATAGTTAATATTCAGAGAAAAAGAGTTTGAAATCGTCAATTCGTCTTCATGATTAATTCTCAAACATTCTCCATATTTGTAGTCCATCCTTGTTCAGCAGAGAGAACTTATTGGCTGATGATTAATTTTCACCGTACAACGTGAGTGAAGTTAGTGGCGATGACTAGTAAACAATAAATCGTTGCATCAGGGTTACCATCGGGCAATCATCCTCGATTCTTGAGAGTTCATCCATCTAGCCTCTATGTATTTGAGTACCGGCTGATTGCATGTTACATTCCAGGACAGCTCGACATGACCTCTTTTCAAAAATTGCCCTCTCAAAGCAATCATTCAATGTACAAGACATAGATTTGTCCATATTGGTATCATTGTTCCATTTTGCAAAGTCCTTACCCACTACATCTTGTTACCGGTGGCGTGCACTCATTCAAATAAGCACTGCATACCCTTTACAACCAATCTTAAATGTAGGTTCAATCTTTATATATTTATTACTCATGAAGTTAAGATTAGTTTTACAAACAATATACAGAGATTATCATAACATAAAAAATAAAGAAATGGTAGACACATTTCGTAATAAACATAATAAAAAAAATTGGACCATAAATAAAATGTTAGAGACGTCGAAATTGTACAATAAATATTTTTGAAGAACAACAAACACGCGTTTTAGAATTAATTGTAAAAGTAATTGTGATGGCAGTCCTGTTTTGAAATTTCTAAGTACTTATAGGTACTTTGTTTGGTATACTGAATTATCATTCATCATAAATATTTATTGCACAATATTTTCATGGCACAGTCATTCGGAACGGTGTTTGGATTAATAAAATTAAAAAAAATATAAATTGTAACGCTAGCTTAATGTAGTTGTAGGTTTTAAGAAATATTTTTGCTGATCCCCACTTACGGCGCTCAGACCTGGTCTTTGACAAAACATCAAAAGTCCACACTCAAAGTTGGCCAGCGAGCCATAGAGCGCAGCATGTTAGGAGTTCGATTATAGGACAAAATAAGTAATACCGTTCTGCGCTCCAAAACTCAAATCGCTGACATTGGCCGCAGAAAGCTTTGTGCCGATATGAGCGAAAGATAGGTAGGGAGGCCTTTGCCTTGCGGTGGGACGATAACGGCTGATAATAAAAAATTAAGAAATCATTAAAATTCAGTTGTTAGTTACTTTGACGTTCAAAAGAGCCTGTAAAGGTCTAATTGGAATAAATGATTTTTGACTTTTGACTTTTGACTTTCCTTACTAGCAAATTTCATTTGTTTTCTTAACTTATTTAATTATTTCTGTGTCGTGTTTCCGATAATATTCATACAAATACATATACACACTCAGACAGAACAATAATATATTAACCACACAAAGGCTTGGTCAGTGCGGGAATCGAACTCGTGACACGTTGCGCAGCAGTTCAGTTACTGTGCCAACCTGTGGAGTTATTACCTATTTTAGTATTTACTATTGTATTCACATCATCACCTTTCATCTCTACATTTACTATTGTATTCCCACCATCACCTTTCATCTCTTATGGCCCCGTCTGTCCAGCTTGGACTAGCTCTCCATCTGAGGCCCTCTTCCCGTTTCCCATTGAAAGTCTTGCTCTTGCCCATTGGACCTATTACCGTGCATCTCTGCCTTGTACACTTAGTGACTTGTCCAGCTCATTTCAAGTTTTATTTCAAAAAGTAAATGAGAATATTTGTCGGTTCAGCTCATTTTATTCTAGAGCGTTTGTCGCTTTGCCGATTTTTGTACTTGTTGCGTCTTACTTTGCTTTTCTTCTTTTATACTTTTCTCTGGTCTTCTTTGATGGGTCCTGATTTTGATAAGAGTTTTAAAGAACTTCGACGTCTAGAACCCATCAGAAACTTTAAGGTCGTGTTTATGAAAACGCGGAGAGTCGCGCATCGTGGCGTGCTATCGTTTTGCATTTGAGCAGCAGGCTTTGTCGTTTCCTACACAAATATAAACATATAAGTGTGGGAGAGCCATGCTTCGGCACGAATGGGTCGGCTCGACTGGAGTGATACCACCACAGCCTCACAGAAAATCGGCATGAAACAACCACAGCGTTGTATTTCGCCGTGTGAGTGAGGTTACCGGAGGCCCAATCCTTGCCCTCCCTAATCCCTAAATCTCCCAAATCCTAATCTCCAAAAGGTCGGCAACGCACTCGTAACTCCTCTGTTGTTGCGGGCGTCCATGAGCGGCGCTGGTTACCATCAGGTAATCTACCTGCTCGTTTGCCGACCCATAACATAAAATAAAAATACTTACAAACATTATGAACAATGTATAAGAGACCGCACCCACCGCACAACGGGCCGCGACTCTGTACCAAACGTGAACTAAGATTCGGTTATAAAATTTGATTTCGGCGTTTTACATTCTGATATTTATTGAATATACATTGAACACATTTTTTTAGAGTAAGCAGTGATCCTAACCACTTTTTATGTACTATGATTTGAAAAGATTAACTTAAGTTTTCCGTAGACTATAACTTCTATATTTACCAGTAGACTTTATAAAACATAAATTTATTGAAATAAACAACTTACTCACGAAAATTGAAGGAGATAAGCCCTACCAGCTTAAGTCAAAACGCTCTTGCACAGCTGTGTGACATAAAACTCATTTCCAAATACCAAGCTGCATGCTGTACCAAGCTTCTTTAGCCGTTATCATCAATTAATTTTGTTGTTGATCTAACAAGAAAATTCTCAGAATACATATTAAACACTAGGCGAATTTACTCTAACAGAGCTACAGCTCACAGGCTATAGTTCACACCGGGGTTATAACTAAGAATTTTGGGGACAAATAAAGGCAAGACATTCAATATCAAAGAGTCCTGAGGCCTACTCTTCTGGATTGAGTCTTATAGTCTTTAAGTCTTGTGATTTGTTTGAAATTCATTGCCCGATATTCATTAAGTCCTTTGTCGTAGGTGCGTTTATAAACACACAATTCCATATAGGTAACACCTCACCTCCACAACAACCTACAGATCACATACAGAGTTGTTCTGTGTGGGAATTGAACCAGCCATACTTTATACGTGCCTTTCAGTCTACGAATGTAACGATATACCTGTCTAAATAGACGTAGCGAGACGAAAGTTCCCAGATTAAGGACGACTGCACATTGAATGTTTGCGCAGACATATCATTAGACTTTCATTGGAAATAGTAAACGTAAAGTATCTTATAAGTACATCATAATATGTACATAATTAAAAAAAACTATTTTGTAACACCCAGTTTAAATGACGCTTATATTGGCATATTAGTTTGATCATATTTTAGTAATACGCGAGTTAACTTTTATGCTTTGACAAAGATACGTTTTATGCATAAATTCAAAAGTTATTTACATAGCGTCAGTACAGTCAGCGACAAAGATATGAATGTAAAGTCTAACTTTGAAATGTGTTCAATGTCACCTTCAAAAGATAGAGAGCACGATGGCTATCTAAGAGCACAAAGAATCTAAAATGTTGGTAGCGGCCGTAAGCGGAACGTGTCTGCTGAGCTCCCATTGAGCCTGGCCGGGATAACCCGCGCATGCTAGGCCCCGCCCCGGGGCGTGGCGCTACCTTCCGGATGCCACCCCCGCAACCCTGCCTTCGTCTCCTACGACCGGACGAGGCACCTCGCTTTTATCCCGGTTTCCTGTCGGTGGACGCTCGCTTTGCTCCGGTCTATCGATTTGTTTATTTTTTTAACAAGACAAATAGGTCAGACGCGTTCCTTCCGAGTACCGTGTTGTATCCGCGCTGCGTCCGGCGCATCGCCGGTGCCGTCGGAGTGATCGCGATGGACAGTGTCCGGTGTAGGTGTGACAACCTCTGCTCAGTGTCTTGTGCCGGAGATGGAGGCTGTTGAATAAAGGTGAGTCGGCGACCAGAACTGAACACTGCACCTTGCATTTCGATTTCTGGCGTAGCTTCTCCGAGATTAATATCGCGTTTCTGTGAGGATACATCTTGTTAAAATAAATTTCACATGGGATTTCACACAATACATGTAAAATTAAATTTAAAAAATCTAAATAAATTCTTATGATTCCATTGAGGTTTGCAAAAACATACTGAAAAAAATATACATATATACAAATACTGAAGGGAATGGAATTTAATCATTACTAATATATAATAATATTCTGGTTTGACTATGTACATTTGTGGAATCCTAGACAGTTTCCATATCCTTGGGACGCGCCAGAATTCAGAATCCAGAATCCAGAATTCATTGTTTTAGCATTGCCACCACCGTGCTAAAACAATGAATTCTGGCGCGTCCCAAGGGCGGGCTTTATCAATGAAGGTAACTAAACTAATTTTGTATAAGCCAGTTGCAATATAGGTACAAATATTATATTTGCTTAACAGGGATTTATTTTTTAAATTTACTTAACAGTGACCTTACCTTTCCAGTAATATATTATCCTTAAAACTGCATGAAATGTCTAAAACCCGTATTTTAAAAGATAAAAAAAAACAATTCATTAAATGAGAAACATATATTAAATTGTAAATAAACTAATAAGTGCGCTCTTGCAAATCCCAGTGTGTTAATAGCCTTACGCGAGGATTCCTCTAGAGTTCATTGAGATTTTCCACAATGTTACTTCCTTCCGACTTTTTATTTTCAAGACAATGGTACTTACATTTGTCATATTCTTCAGTTATTTACCTTATTAATGGTTTCACTAAATCCATCTTAGCGGTCAGTGGTTACCATAATCACTTTGTAAGGAATTATAGAAGAAATCCTAGACGAATTTCCATTTTTTTTCCTAAATTTATGAATTACTAGCTACCGCGCGTGACTTCACCTGCGTGGTGGATAAATAGCTATTAGCTTACGTGTGCCTCTATCTATATACTGAATTGCAACCAAATCAATCCATCCGTTATTGCATCAAGAATAACAAACATGCCTACATCAAACTATCGACAATTATAATTTGCGAATTATTGCGTATCTTCTGTTTTTATAATAATACCTACATTTTGACACACAATAAATACATAATAAGCTTCGATTACAACAAGTACCTATTTCAGTCAGAGATAGTTGGTGATTGACCTGAAGACGGTATACAATGCCAATCATAATCTCTTCTAACAAGTGAACTTAATAAGATACTGTTGATCCTCATACAAGACGCATTCAAGATCAATTTAAAGAGATCGAGTTATAAATCTCATCCTTGCAATTGTGCTTGCCGATTCGATACTGTATGCAGGTCTGTCTTAACAGGATGTTATTGAGCACTTCTTTATAGTGACAAATTAGAATATAAACCTTATGATATCTTTTTTGCTTGACGTTCAAAAGTGCCTACTGTGGTCTACTTGAAATAAAGAATTTGATTTGATTTGATTTTGATTATATTAGCCACCAATCCTAATCTTTATAATGGAAAAAGCCAATTAAGGAATTTCAGATTAAATATTGATCAGGCAGCTCTCCTTCATAAAGGTCAAAGATCCTTTTAAAAACTATTTGCAATTCTGGAGATTGCGTTGAAATTGCTGTTATTCATAATAGTTATTGTCAAATCAATTGTAATAAGGTAGAGGTAAGCCAAATCGCGTCATGTTCAAAGTCTAGGCTAGACTTTTTTTAAAGTCAAAGTAATAAAAGGATGTATAAAATGAAATAAAAAAAACGCATTTAAGATGTTTTGTAGGTAGTAAGTAAGTTTTAATTCGTATATAATACAAGCTGCTTGTAAAACATTGCCAAACGACCGGGTTTTGATGGCAATTTTATTTAAAGAATTAATAGCAAATAATATTTAATTTTATTATGAAGTTATTGTCAGCTTATTGTTTATTTATATTTTTTTGATAAAGTTTCTGTTTCTTTTAATTCATATTCGTGTAGAAAACCCAGTTATGAGCCCTGTTGCTGAACAATTCTAACACGGCGAAAGTTTGAGCATTGATCATCGCGCTTGCTCAATGTGTATTGGCGATTTCAAACATATAATTAGAAATTATAAGTCCAGGTTTCCTTCTATTGGTGGTGTCTAAATAATCTTAGAATCTAGGACATATACATATAATCGAAGCATAAATATTATTTAAGGTCTTCGTCTAAAAATTAAAATTATATTAAATCATTTTCCAAAATAAGTAAACTACTCGCGTAAACAACAGCATAAACCTATTACCTGACTGATATACACATACGAATGCAATTTTCCTACAGCACAAATAACTACATCAATAAAGAAAGCGTTTAGCAACAAAAACTTGCCTTAAATGGTTGTGTGTGCAACAAATAAGTTAAATGTGTTATTAGAATGCCAGTAACTGTGTTTCTGCCAGTAATACAGTCGGTTTGGCACACGCCTATGGAAGAGAATGAATGGCACGCGATACCGACGCTACGCCTTTAATGTTTAACACTGAAAATGCTTGAAAAATGCAGTAATTAGGTGTTTTAAAAACTTTATGATATGATTTAGTGTGCTTATAACTTGATGTCAGTGTTGTGAAATGTGTTCAACCAATTACTTTTCTACTTACTTAATGTTTTATTCTTGCACCGATTGAAAAGTAACTTCATAGTCATTGCTCTGTGTCTTGAGGAAAAGTTCACTTCAGTTACTCAAGGAATATTGGCCAATGCAAATTAATAAGTAATAAACAACTACTGTTTCTAGTTTCAATTGAATGCATCCCTATGATTGACAAATGGGTTTCATAACCATGACAGGATTATAGTACGTTTTATATAAATCACTGGATAAAAAAAATTGATTAGATTTTCTAAGAGGTTTCATAACAATTTAAGGCGCAATTTTTTTTAAACTATCATGTTTGGCTTCTCCACCTATGTTGGTAAGCAAACACTTTAGGTACCTATAAAATTAAGAACATAAAAATTGTCTAAGTACAGAAATACTTGTGTTTAGGTACTATTGTGCTAATTTCTTCTCATCTAGCGCCTACCGATCTTCATACAGAAAAAATAGTTTAGTATTCCCTCCATAAAAAAAACTTACTAGGCTGTCAGGTATCTAATTCAACACTCAAAACAGTAAAATTACTTCATATCACACATTTTAACATCAGACAAACTTACTTTAACAAGTGTAACACACCACCAAGGTGCAATAAATCACAAGAATAAAACTCCACCTGAATATGAAGAGAATTTAAAAGTATAGTCGGCTAGATAACGCTTCGCCGTTTTTATTTATAAACGCAAATGTATTCCTTGTTACATCAACATGTATTACCATAGATGCATAAATCTAGCGAGCAGTAGACACTTGGAGTTGGGGCCGACTGTACATGTATATGCCCGCATAATATTCGCGTAAATCACGTGTGGAATTAATTATTGTTACTGACTGTACTTGCTACGTATTTAGGGTGGTGAAGGTTAGGTTGTTATGGAATGAAGTTCATCATAACGAACCTTACCGGCCTTATTACAATACAAGGTTTTTCTTTGGTCTAGGTCTAACCCATCAGTGCAATGAGGCACCGCGGCTTCGGCCTAAACCAGGAGAAGAAACAGAAGAGTTTTTAGTCAGTAAAAGTCTGACACTCTCTCGCCTCACCCTGGGCGAGATAAGTGTTTTGAAGATTTTGTCCTAGCAAAAAAAGTCAAAGCCATTGAACCAGTTTTTGTATTACAAATTGAAGTAAGATGAAACTAAGATTCAAAATGCAAAAAGTGACTCTAAATACCTATGTAGACTAAAGATACATCTTTTTTTGTAAAAAGGGTATAGAGGTTAGATTCTTTAGTTATATCACTAGGTATTTGAAGAGGGAATTTGATAGTTAAGGTTGAGGTTATGGTAACTATTTCTTCTTTATGTGGAAACAGAGTTTAGAGACATAAGCAGTTTTATTTTCCATACATATTTGAACTTACGTCTAACTGTTAGAGTAAAGTTTAAATTTTTATTTGTTCTCAATTTAGATCTTTTTATATTGATTGTGACTACCAAGCTTTATTAAGTTTGTCACTTCAGTGTTTTCCATAAAAGTTTTCATTCATGTGACCAACACGTCACATTCTCACGACGTTGGTATCTTTCATAAAATATCTTTGAGATTACATTCGAGGAAAATACTTTTTAAGAATAATCGGGGGATCTGTGTCTAGTTCCTTACGACGTGTTACTCATTACTGATGGTCACGACACCTTCATGGAGCATTCCTCTTGCCATAATATGATGATCTAGAAAAGCAGCGTTGAAATACGGCTTGCGTTGTATAACTGTGATTGGTGTTACCGTGGGCTTAAACCTCCTTTCCTTTCCAAATTTCTTTCAACGTTTACTGTTGAACATCATGCCGTGATCCTACTTATCTCTACCATTTTACCCCCATAGATATATATGAGCAATAAAAATATCTGCTCAGTTCGTAAAACATCGTAAAATACGTCATCGGTGCGTGCAAAAACGTCGCCCGAAAACGCCCTAAGAAGTCAGCCCTTCCCAAATCAATACGTGGCTTGTTTTCTACTATAAACAGATTCATACAGGGTGATTTTGTCTGTGAATATACGCCGATATACAGTGTGTATGAACGAGATGTTCAACCGATTTTTCAGTCGATTAGTCGCCTGATAAGTAGCCGTTTGGTCAGCCTTTCTTGGAGAGTAAGGGGAGAATACTATGTTGTTTATTATTTGTATAGTGTTGGGTGAATAGGTTTGATGTAGAAAGAAATAGACTTTTCGAAGATTTAAGCTTTACTAATGAAGTTTATATGATTATTAACTTGTGTATTATAAATGGCTCAGAAGAATTCTGTAGGAATAAGAATGGAACAACCAGAGCAACCAGGTCGAAACGTCAAGCCTACCAAGGTATTTAGATAACTATTTTCGCGTTAATACCCGCGTTATGTATGTTGTAAATATATAGGAATAAACCTAACATATTTAACAATCTAGTCTAGCTCTGGATATTCATATTTTGTAAAGCTTGCCTTTATGATTAT